CATGTCACTGCATCGGGAAATTATCATTAAACATACAGGTAAAAGAGAAAAGCCTCAAAGTATTAATTTTTGTAGTGAAGAATCTGCAAAATCCTCTTATTTTAGGTATGGAGGTTTTAAGGGCCGCGAGGGCCAAATTGAATTTTCAAGACAGTTCCGTGGTGCTGGAGATGGACCAGAGGGTGGTGGAACCTGTGGAGACACCTCAAGTGGACCTTAGCCATCTGAATGACCATGAAAGGCAAGCAATAGAGCAAGTGGTGAGTAATTTTTCTAACTTGTTTTCAGAAAAACCGGGAAATTGTCAAATAGTTACGCATAAGATACAAGTAACTGCCGAAAAACCTTGTAGGACTAAACCTTATCGGTACGACAAACAAAAAGACGTAATCATCGAAGAACATATTCAGGAGATGTTAAAGAATAAAATAATAACGCCCATAAATAGTGAGTACGCGAGTCCAGTCGTACTATGTAGGAAAAAGAACGATCTAAAAGAACGAGTTTCCCTCCTTCGGATAAAAGGGCTTGGAGGTTTGCTATCGATTAACAGAAAACTAAATAGTATTACTAAATTTCCAGGTTTACCCTTTGCCGGTTATAGAGGAAATTATTAGACAAGATCAAATCGACAAGATATATGACTACTTTGGACTTAACGTCTGGCTACTATCAAATAGCTATGAGACCAGAAGACGTATACATAAAACCGCGTTTATAACAAAATCGGGCACTTATGCATTTTTACGCATGCCCTTTGGGTTGTGTGGGGCCCCATCAACATTCCAGAGAGCTATGGACATTGTTCTAAAGCCCGTCCTAGGAAAATCAACTTTAATTTATCTAGATGATATAATTATAACGAGTAGTACGTTGGAACAACACATTAATGATCTAGAACAAGTTTTTAAATTATTAAAAGAGGCCGGTCTTACAATTAACGCCTCAAAATGCAAGTTCGCAACTAAAGAACTTAAATATCTCGGTTATAAAATTTCGCAAAAGGGTATAGAAATGCAAGATTCAAAAATAAAAGCAATCATCAAGAATTTCCCACCTCCCAGCCCAACACCGCCAAGAAACTTTTTTCTTTCCTTGGGTTATGTTCTTACTATCGGTCTTTCATAAAAGATTTCACTAATATTGTTGAACCACTCTTAGTAATCAAAAGAAAGAAAAGTGTAAATTTACGTGGACAGCGGAAGCAAATACAGCATTTTGAAAGATTAAAAAGAAGCGCTCATCAATGCCCCTGTTTTAAAATTCCCGGAGGGGGACGAAAACCTGGAAATTGCAGCAGATGCGTCAGGACTATGCGGTGGGTGCGGTTCTTATGCAAAATAGGCCATCCTCTGGCATTTTTTAGTAAAACGTTGAAATCAGACACAAAGGAATTATACAGCTACAGAAAGAGAAACATTAGCCGTATTAATGGCTGTACACAAATTTCGATTTATTTCGGCAAAGCGCCAGTAACAGTCTTTTCGGATCATGCGGCTGTTGGTAGACTTTACTCGGGAAAAAACCTAAAGCCCAGGTTAATAAGATGGGCTTAAAAACTCCAAGAATATAATATCAGAATAAAATATAAACCGGGTAAGGAAAACAATGTAGCTGACGCACTTTCTCGTATAAAACTGGACGATGAAGGAAATGAACTTAAATGCGCTGTGTTGACTTCAAAAATTTTAGATTCTAGAGATACGATTATCACTGAACTGAAAGCTGATCCTGAATTTGGAAATATCTATGCATATTTGAAAGACCCCGAAAGCTTTGAGCACACAGATATCGATGCGATAAGAAATAGAGCAGAAAACTATGAAATAATAGATAATTTATTATTTTATACGAAAAAAACAACAAACGAAAATCTTGAGTATAAACCAGTCATCCCAGCCTCGCTTCGATTAAGCATTTTGAAGGAATTACACGACGCGAAAACAGCGGGTCATTTAGGGGTCAGAAAGACTTTAAAAAGGGTACGCGAGGCGGTATATTTCCCGCAATTATACAAAATAGTAACGGCGTATGTCAGGTCCTGCAATCAATGTCAGTTAATAAATGATATTAATTACAGCCCGGCCGGGTACTTAAATAGCATTCGCGCTACATTTCCGAATGAAATTTTAGGCATAGATCTTCTTGGTCCCTTCCCCCCAGAGCGAGTTAAATAAAAATCGTTTTCTTTTAGTAATAGTAGATCATTTTTCAAAATGGACAGAAATTGTTCCACTTAAACGCGCGTCAGCCAAAACAGTCGCAGATGCATTCTTACACAGATACATTTTAAAATACGGTGCACCGATAAAAGTCATTAGCGATAACGGAAAACAATTCATTAGTCAAATATTTGAAAACATATGCAATGGACTTGATATACGCCATATCAAAATGGTTCCGTATAGACCACAGGCTAACATAGCAGAAAGAGTTAATAAAAACATTGTAAAAATAATTCGCAGTTACGTTAGCACACATCACAAGCGCTGGGATGGCTACATAAATGAATTAGCTTATGCTTTAAGAACGGCACATCATGATACTACGGGAAAAACCCCAGCAGAATTATTTTTAGGCAGAAAGTTAATTACGCCTTTAGATAAATTATTCTTTGTGCAACAAAGAGAGCAAGAGTTTAAACAGAAAAATGTGCAAAACTGATTGATCAGGCGCTTAAAAAAAAGCTCGGATACGGCAATAAATAAGCAAAAAGCATATTATGATAGAAAACGCCGTGAAGCAGATTTTAAAGTTGGGGATAAAGTATTGAAGCGGAAATTTTCTTTATCAAGTGCCCCAGACAATTTTACGGCAAAGCTAGCTCCAAAATTTGAAGGCCCCTATGTAATTCAGGAAATCAAAAGGGTCGTATTATATCCTTAAGAACGAGAGAGGGGAATCTGTAAAGCAAGTCCCGACCAGGTGAAAAAAATACTATAATCCAAATGATTTTGAAATCCTTAAAAGTTTCTTGCAGGACTCAAGTCTAAACGAAGTAGAAGGTCCAGAATAACAACAACTGTTCCACCACCCAAGAAGCAGAGAACTGAAGAGAGACCTAGCCCTTCTACAACCCGGACGACGGTACCAAAAAGAAAAAATAAAAAAATTTCAGACTCCAGCATTTAAGAAAAACAAGAATACAGATGCACCGCGTAAAGAAACCGTGGTAAAGAGCAAAACACCACTACAACGTATCGCAGGAGAAATTATACATCAAGGAGAACGCTCCCAGGGCCAGAGAGTCAGGTGCCAAACAAGGCCGCCGTTCCGGAAACTGAAAACGGGCAGCAGGAGGAAAACAAAATACCAGGAACAACAGAAGAAATTCAAGAAGGACTCCAGGCCGGAGGACGTCAAGACCAGCCGGTCCATGGAAAAACGGAAACGACAACAGCCCGACGACTACTCCGCCAAGAGGCCAGCATGCAGAGGACGCAAAAGAAAAACTAATGTGGTTGACACTCGGAGGTCAGTAAGGAGAAGATTGACGTCCATGAAACCTATAACTTGGGAACAATATTGCCAGAAAAGAATGACGGAGTTTCAAGCATCGAAAACTCAAAGATTAGTTAAAATCTTCTATAATTTTTTTTTTCTCCTTTGTTCCAAAATGTTATGCATAAGTACGAAGTTCTATGTTTTGACGAAAGTCAATATGTCTCGGTTGAGACTTAGTTTTATTTTACTTTATTTAGCTAAGGCAAAATTATTATTTTCTTTAAGTATAAAATCTAAGAACAAGCATTTTCTGTTGGTCGAAAGACTAATTCTGTTATGTTAAAGCCAAAATTTGGCCGAAGATAAAAATAACTTCGTATTCTTGTATTAATAAGAATTTTAGTTTCAGTGCCGCCAGCTTGGCGAAGAATGAGTAAAGTAAAAATTTATTTTCTCTTATTCATTTTATGGTAAATTGTAAAAATCATATGTATTAAAATTTTGTAAATATACATAAATACTTGAATGTTATGTAAAAGTAGAATTTAGTCTAGAAGCATAAAATTTTAGATGCTAAAAGTAAAATGCTCAAAAGCAATGAATTCAAATTTAAGTATTAAAACTGTAGATAAAATCATGCTTTAGAGCGAAAGCCTGCATGTTTAAAGATGAATGAGGGGGAAGTTAGAATGAATGTGTTTTGTAGGGTTCTCCACCTACACTTGAATTTTTAAGAATGTTAAAGTAGCTCATCGAGTTGTAGAATGTCGAGTAAGGTGTGTCTATTTGGTCGTTGAATTCTAACAAATCATGGTGGTTAGGGGAAGTGTTGTAAGACTAAAACACGAATATTCCCGTTTGACACCACACATGGTGGAGAGCCAGGGTAAAGTTAAATTAATGCTTTGAAAACTTGAATGAATGTGAATTAAGCAATAACTAAGGAAAACGAATCGTTCAAAAACAAAAAATTATTGTGTCAAGAAAGTGTAAATTATAATGTATTTAGAAAGATACTGATACTTATTCCTTCCAGATGCTGGAAGGAAAAGACCAAGATTGATTGCTGAAGTCCAGGAAAAGTTGCTGTAAGAAGAGAGAATTATAAGTATAACAGAAATTTAGTATACAATTTGTTACATAAGATTTTTTTGTGTAAACGAGGTTCTTAGAGTTAGTTCAGAATTAGAACTACAAACAGGTCGTTTGTAGGACCTGCTTCCAAGTTTTCCAAATTCTGGCAGCGGCAAATGTAGGAGTAGTGTACAAATGAGAGAGCTGGCGCAGTGACCTTTGGGGGCGAAACAATGACTGCGAAACCCTCCATTAAAATCGAACCCACTTTTAGAATGTGATGGCTCTCCAACCCTCCATTAAAATCGAACCCACTTTTAGAATGTGATGGCTCTCCAACCCTCCATTAAAATCGAACCCACTTTTAGAATGTGATGGCTCTCCAACCCTCCATTAAAATCGAACCCACTTTTAGAATGTGATGGCTCTCCAACCCTCCATTAAAATCGAACCCACTTTTACAAACGCTACTTTTCCAAAACGCCGCTTTTACAAACGCCACTTTTCCTCTTCATCGCATGCTTCTTTTGCAAGGGGACATTCGTCCCCCACATAATCCACTGGCATGGTATATTTAGTGAGGGTATTAATTTATACCATCAGTGCACCATTATGTATGGCTTCTAGAGCGTCAAAGGAGAGACAATGGGTAATTGATTAATAATACCTAGTGAATAATAAAAGCATTTAAAGAGAAGGTTTGTAGTATATAGAAAGACAAAATGGATTTTCAATCAAAAACAGTTCGACAGTTACAAGATTACTGTCGAGAAAATGATATTCGAGGATACTCGAAACTTAAAAAGGTGGAACTGATCGCCCTCATTCAATACCACAACGGCTTTTCCAGGTTCCACAATGACTTGTTTATCAAGCGAAAGAAGAAGAGGGAGCTAAAAATCAGGTGTTGCGGAAAGTTAATAAAGGAATCTAGCATAAATAAGCACTTACAAACTAAAGCTCATCAAAACTATAAGCCTAAGAAGGCCAGCCAGGAGGTTCACAGAGATGATTTTGACAATATGCAGGGGCTGCATCATATGACCATTAACCAACTACGTGAATTTTGTCGATCGCGTGGCATCGCAGGCTATTCCAAACTACGGAGGAAGGCAGACATCAAAGCATACATAGAAAGCGTTTTGTTCAACCGTCACTTCGAATTTGATTCCGACCTGTTTTCAGATTCGCGAGAGAGAAGGCTATATACCCCCAATGAAATTGATACGGCTTTTGAAAACCGTTTGGTGACGTATGATGTCCAAAATGAGCACAATCTGATGCTTCCCAAAGACTTCTTGAACGATGTTTCATCACTGGTCCGGGGTCTTATTACAAAACATCTGAAGAGGCTGCATGGCTTGAAGGTTAATTTCCAATTTCTCTGTGACTATGAAAAAGGGAAAGATGAAACGATGACAGAAATGGAGAAAAACTTCAAAACAAAAAATGAAGTCATCTTAGAATCAACTGATTTGGTAGCTTATTACAGATCAGTTATCCAAAAAATTATTGACGGAGATGGAGGAGTTTGTTGCAAGGGGTTCAGGTTGGACGCTTGCTAGAATCAAAAGTCTTGAGGTGAGGATCAATAAGTACACCCCACTGAGAGGATCATCCTACATTGATTTGTCAAAAGTGATTAAAGCTAAAAAAAGCAGTCATAAACGTAAAAAATGAGAATGATAATGAGTGTTTTAAATGGGCGATACTGTCTGCACTACATCCAGCAGAAAAAGATGCCCAAAGAGTCACCAAATATAAGCCATATGAAAATGAGCTAAAGTTCGAAGGCATTGAATACCCAGTAAAGATGGAAGACAGAGTACTCGAAAGGTTCGAAAAATTGAATAACATATCAGTGAACATATACTCATACGATGAAAAGACTAACATATACCCCTTAAGAATAAACTAAGCATAAAGTAGATAAGCATGTCAATTTACTTTACATAAGAAACGAGAAAGGGAACAGTCATTACTGTTGGATAAAAGACATGTCCAAATTAATATGTGGGCAATTAACCAAGCATAATGGAAGAGTATACCCATGTGAAAGGTGCCTGTTATTTTTTCACTCTGAGGAAGATCTTCAAACGCATGAAAAGGATTGTAAGAAAAATCAGGCTGTTAAAATAGTAATGCCTGAAAAAGATTCAAAATTAAAGTTCAAACATTACCATAAATCGCTACGAGCACCTTTTGTAATGTATGCAGATTTTGAAAGTTTAACAACTAAGATAGATACATGTCAGCCAGATCCCAAGAGCTCTTACATGCAGAAGTACCAAAAACATGAACCCATGAGTTTCTCACTTTACATTAAATATAAGCACGGAGACTACAAACCGCCTATCACATATAGAGGTCCAAATGCAACTAAAGTATTTTACGAAACGTTGAAAGCTGAGGCCTTAGAGATAAAGAAAATTTATGATAAGAAGCACCCAATCAAAATTACTGATGAAGATGACAGGCATTTCAAGAGAACCCATATATGTCATATCTGCGGGTTTAACATCAAAGAAGTACCATCACCATATTCGCCGAAAGACTCTGAGGACTCCGAAAAAAAAGTAATGGATCATGACCATTTACTCGATCCATCCAAACATGAATCAAACTATAGAGGGCCAGCTCATAAATTATGTAACTTAATGTACCAATACCCTTCCCTCATTCCTGTCTTCATTCACAACTTATCTGGGTACGATTCTCATTTATTCATAAAAGAGCTAGGTGGTGATAATGGGAATATCGATGTCATTCCAAACACTGAGGAAAAATACATTTCATTCAGCAAAGAGGTTGGAGCGGAATGGGTAGATGCAGGTGATGGTAAAAAGGTCAAGCTACCCGGAATAAAGTTGAGGTTTCTGGATTCTTTTAAGTTCATGGCTAGCAGCATTGATAGTTTAGCCAAAAATGTGAAAGAATTCAGAGAAACAGCCAAATTCTTTCCCAAGGACAAATTGGACCTCGTTACCAGAAAAGGCGTGTATCCGTATGATTATATGGACTCGTGGGATAAATGTGACGAAACACGACTACCCAACAAAAAAGAATTTTACAACAAAATGACTGAGTCGGATATATCACACGAGGACTATGCACATGCCAAAACAGTATGGAAGACCTTCAACATTAAAAATTTAGGTGAGTATTCTGATTTGTATGTGAAGACTGATGTACTGATCTTAGCTGATATTATGGAACATTTTAGAGATGTCTGCATAAGGACTTACAAATTGGATCCTGCATGGTACTTCACTGCACCCGGTCTCTCTTGGGATGCTATGTTAAAAACCACTGGAAAGGAATTAGAATTATTGACTGATTATAACATGATTTTAATGTTAGAAAAAGGAACCAGAGGTGGGATTTCTCAGTGTTGTAATAGGTATGGGAAAGCTAATAATAAATATATGAAAGACTATGACAGAAGTAAAGAATCTAATTATTTAATCTACCTAGATGCCAATAACTTGTATGGATGGGCAATGAGCCAATTTCTACCATATGGCGGCTTCAAGTGGGGGGATACCGATATAGATGTAACAGCGATCCCCGACGATTCAGATGTGGGTTATATCTTAGAATGCGACTTGGAATATCCTGAATATTTGCATGATCTCCATTCAGACCTCCCACTAGGAGCTGAGAACAGAGTTCCTGATGGCTCAAAACATACAAAATTACTAACAACCTTATATGACAAAGATCATTATGTGGTTCATTACAGGGGTTTGAAACAATTTTTACAAATGGGCTTAAAATTGAAGAAAGTACACAGGGTATTAGAGTATAAGCAAGCACCTTGGCTGAAGACATATATCGACTTGAACACTGAAATGAGAACTAAAGCAACTAATGACTTTGAAAAAGATTTCTATAAACTCATGAACAACTCTGTGTTTGGTAAGACAATGGAAAATATTAGAAAAAGGCTTGATATCAAACTGTGCTGTGATGCGGAGAAAGCCGAAAAACTTATTGCTAAACCAAATTTTAAAGGAAGAACCATATTTGAAGAAAATTTAGCCGCTATACATATGCACAAAAACTGCAGTACTCTTTGATAAACCTATCTATGTTGGAATGAGTATCTTAGATTTATCCAAAACTTTAATGTACGACTTCCACTATAATGTGATGGCACCTAAATATGGGAAAAAACATTATACTGTTGTACATGGATACGGATAGTTTCATCTATGATATAAAAACTGATGATTTCTATGAAGATATGAAAGGAATGCTTGAACATTTTGACACGTTTGATTATCCGGAGGATAATAGGTATGGAATGCCGCGAGTTAATAAAAAGGTTTTGGGGAAGATGAAGGATGAAAATGCAGGGGGGATCTTGGAAGAGTACGTTGGCTTAATATCTAAGATGTATGCCTGTAAAACTGAAAAAGACTTAGTTAAAAAATCAAAAGGTATTAAGAAATGTGTAGTGAAAAATAGAATTACTTTCGAGGATTACAAAAACTGTCCATTCTCACATCAAAAACAGTACAGATCTATGAATCTCATTAGAAGCACAAATATTCATTCCATACAAGTAAATAAGATTGCCCTTTCAGGAGATGATGACAAGCGGCACATATTACCAGATGGTATCCATACCTTGGCTCACGGTCACTATGCGATAAAGAGCAACCTCAAAAAGTCACCTGTACAGACGCCAGGCGAAGGATCAGCATTTTGGTAAGGCCCCCAAGAAACCTCTCCTCTATAATAGCTCGGCTACGTACTGAACATTTCAAGGGTATCACCAACTGGTCCTATCCCAACTGCTGTGTCCTGAATCCCTCATGCCTCTTCGAACTCCGCCAATAGAGATCCGCCTCCAGAACTGGCAGCACCAAGACTTTTTGATTTTTGCACCTCATGCACTTATGTATAGACATGACAACAACATTATCAATCAATTTAAAAGGGGTTAAAAGGAAGACTTATTAAAATAAATATGGACATGACGGAAGAAATGGAGGAAATAATGAGATTGTTTAGTCCAGACACAGAAGTTTCTTCAGACTTGAAAACTAAAGAGTGTGAACACAAATATGTAATTGGTGATGACTGGTACAATTGCCAAGCATGTGGTGAAGAACTGAGATATAATCCAAATAAACCCCCTATCAAATTAGAAGATTTATATTTCGAAAAGGCGCAGACAGCTAGAATGAAAAGCAGAATGACAAATCTTTATAAATGGATAAGTAAGTATAACTTTCCTTTCGAAGAAGAGCTTATGATTGATTTGTCATCTTTTATCTCTAAATACATAGAGTTGTATCCGAAGCGTAAGAACTTAATTAGCAAAGACTATATTTTATACCAAATGTTACGGAAAAGAGGTGGTTATGAGGTCCCACTTAAGCTACCTAAACTGATGACAACGCTAGCTCAGAATGAAGAAATCTGCAGAACCATCTTCGATGCATTAAATTGGAGCACAAATATGGGTGCGATGACCCCAATGAGTGAATTATAATTTTTAATAGCTTTCGTCGGCTATTAAAAATAAACTAAATCCTTCTTATCAATCCAGCTAGTCTCAGGATAGCCTAACCATTTTACTAGATATTGTGTCCCCTTTCTTTTTGATGACTTTTTCAATCTTATATACGTTGTCTTTCTTATCATACTTTACCAATTCATTTTCATAAAAAGTACCTTTAACCTCTTCATTATTTAAATCCTGAACTCTATAAGTGATTGGATCAGTTTCTAATACTTCAGAAATGACAAATATTTCTTCTGTAAAAGTTGCTTGATAACCTCTTCTGAAGGCAGACTTATATATTGATATTCTTACTTTATCTCCTACTTGGTATTTAGGTTTATGTATGACCTTTTCTTTAAACAAATTGTGATACACATCACCACTGTTTTCTTTTAGACTGGCTTCAACAGGTGTCATTTTGATACTTCTGTGGTAGGAATTGTTATAATTTTTTACTAACTGACTCAATACATCTATGTATCTTTTTGTATTGTTTGCTGCTAAATATTTTCTAATTTTACCGTTTAAAGTTCTGTTGAACCTTTCCACTATGGAGCACTTGATTTCGACATTTTCAGTAGTAAACCAGTGAATATTATTCTCTTTAAACAGTTGTTGCGTCTCTTTGTTAATGAACTCGGTCCCCTTGTCTGTCTGAATTTTTTGAGGAATTCTTTCCTTAAAGATCTTTTTAAACGCTATAGTAACTTCTTCTCCCGTTTTTCTGCGAACTGGTATAGCCCAAGCATATTTGCTAAAAATGTCTATGACTGTTAGTAAGTAGTTGTTACCATCATTAGAACTTGATAATGGTTTTAAAAAATAGCAAGTCTGCTTGCCATTGGTCGTCAATGTGTGATACGTAAGTTCTCCTTCTTTTGAATTTACGGATAAGTGGTTTGTGTTTGGTATAAACATCTTGCTGGTGTAAGAACTCTTCGATATCCTTTCTAGGAACATGCACCTTCCTCTGAAGCTCCTTGATGCCGCAATATCCAGTTTCAGGATCATAGTACACATCTCTCAGTCTAGGGGTGTTCTGAGTTACCCCGTCAACTTTAAAAAAGAACTTTTCCTTGATCCACACTTTTCACACTTTCCTTTCATAATAGGCCTTCCGTTGCTTGTTACCGAATTTTCAACATTTAGTGTACCTGTCTTCTTTTTACAAATCAAGCAATATGTCACAATAGCACCTAGTCCAAAAACTCTTTTGGTTTTTATGATAGGTCGGATGATAGCCCTAGCTTGTTTTTCTCCGAGTGGATAAAATCCGCTGTTTGGGTTTTCAATGGCATCTAAATCCTTTAAAAGCTCTTCATCTGCAACATGTCTCTGTCTAGTGTCTTTTGTTTGACTGTATGCTATGTCATGCTTCTTACATGCTTTATCTACTCTGTTAACTCCTGGATCCCCTCTAGTCAATCTTTTAGAAAGCTTTGTAAAAGGTCCACAGTACTGATAACCAGGAAGATGCATTTCTGGTGGATTGAGCTTATCTTGCATCCAACCGACTAAATCTCCACCTTTAATCTTTCTATCTTGTTTGCTCATTTATTAAGAATAGAAAATTATTTTTCGTACCCGTTCAAACCTTTCTCCTTTAAATATTTTTCCATGGGGAAGTACTTCAAGTCCTTAATAAATTCTTGCTCTTTAATCAAAGCTTCCTCCTCCGAAATAGTCTTTGCTCTCAAGCAATTTAGTAAAGACTTATAAAACTTGTAGGATAATCTCTATGACACTGGCCACGATGCTCAAGGATGCTAAGGGAAGCAGAGCGAAAGCTGTCAAACTCGAAGTACCAAACAAGAACTTCGCAATTGTCAGAGACAGACTAACATCACTGTAGAATTTGTAGCTTTTTCTGTATGCGTACAAGCATGACTCTAATTTTTGTTCCATGTTTTATTTAAAGAAGAAAAACATTTCCTATACCTCATTTCAGGGTTAACTAAATCAAGCATGAAAAAATCATGAGGTTTCGTGACACACTTTTTGTACATACTATCGAACTCCTCGCTGGTGAGACTACCATCGATTTCCCTCAGGATTTGTTTAACCTCTCTTGGTTGGAGTCTAAAGAAGATAAAGTAGTTACAGTTCTTGCGTATGTTGATGGGTGTTGAGTAATATGATTGAGATATATAGATGATGGACGCATTTTTCTTCCTACCTCTTATGAATAGGTCCTCTATGACTTTTTGCTTCTTTTCTGTCACGCAGTCATCGAATACAACTAGATTCTTAACGTTAGGATCAAGTTCATCTACTGTTATAAAATCGCCCAACTCTGACGTGAATAATGTTTCCTTCTTGAATTTGTGAAACATTTCTAAAACTTTTTCTTTATCAACCTTCTTAACTTTTTTAAGGCTAAGAATATCATCTTCCTCTATATCATTAAACTGCGTGTATGTTTCTTGTAGAGATGAATACTTGGGCTCAAAGATGTCTTTAGCACATACGTAGAGATTGTCAAACTTCAACCAATCATAGATGAAGTTAAGAAGCAAGTTTGTCTTACCACACCCTGAAGGTCCGGTGATTAAAAGTCTGAAGGGATGTTTGGGTAGCAAAGGATGCTGATCAGCATATGCAAACTCTTCAGGTTGCGTGTAATTCTTTATTCGAATCATATCTTTATTTAAGGTGAAAATATTTGCTTTAAGGCAAAAAATATTTACTTTAAGGCAAAAACATTTACTTTAAGGCAAAACTTTATTTGCTAAGTAATAAAGATGAATCAATTAGAAAAGGAACGCATTGAAAAGATAAAGGGGCAGATACTAGCCCAAAAAAGATTGGGTGAGTTACAAAAAGATCTTAGAAGAAAAAACGAGCAGCAGCTTCAAGAAAAATTAGGTGTTCGAGAAATGTTAACAGAGTTTCATAAGCCTGTGACAGAAGAGATGACTAAGCAGGAAGTATCTAGAAACAAACACCTTAAAGCTGTTCAGGATGCAATACAGGAAATATCCTCTCCATCGTTAGAGTCCACAACAATTCCAGAATTGGATTATGGAATAAAAGATTTGGAGCGCAGGATTTATAATTTAAACTTAAATAAGGATATCGACGAGTCTTTCATTCGGGAAGAGGGTTTTGAACTACCATCGGAATTAGTGAACAAAAGTGAGGGCGAGCTGAATGAAATCATAAAACGCGCCAACGACAGAAATAAAGAATTCGGAACTAGAAAAGGGCCTATGAAAAAAGAATGGAAGAACAGTGCAGAAGATAATGAAGATAGGAAAAAATATTTAAGAAAAGAGTTGGACAAGTTCGACTACAAAATTCAAATGATGAGGAACTATACAAAAGCACTCAAAACACTCAGGGATGGAAATTATTATTCAGGCGAGGGTATCGATAGGGTGGAGCTGCTTTCGCGACTGACGGATAAAAGATGTGGAGGGAATAAAAGTAAAA